CATACAGCAGCCAGGATGTGCCAACTGAGCAGCTTTCTCCCCTTCGCCCAGCTGCAGCCTCTTTACAAAGCACAGCCTGGCACACAGGGTGAACCTATCGCTAAACCACCCAAACAGAAACCAAAACCACAGAACATTCTGTCTTAAACACTCTGCCGCTATTGAAGAGCAAGAATTACAGGCCACCAGAACACACTGTCATCAGTATTTTCCCCTGTATAACCATTCACTCCACTGGCAAGTGAACATTAAATATTCTGGTTCTGATGGGGTAGAATTTTATATCAATTTTTCACTGCTGCAAAGAAAAACACTGTTTTGAACTGTTCGCTGCAGTTCTATAATTGAGCCACCATGTAAGGTCCTAGTAGGGTTTTTGCTCTTTTGAAACGATTTATGGTATTAAGGAATTTTCTGTGCTGTAATTCCAAGCTGTTTCCCCACTACCAGTACTGAAACACATCCGTAATGACACACATGGACATTCTGCCTTTGAAATGTTAACTCGGAGTATCTTTGATATATGGTGCCACGAACATACTTCTTTTCTGACTCCTGCTTTCAAACTACTAATAAGAGCAAAATCAAACAGAGGGGACATAGTGAAAAGGACAGAATTGAAAGAAAACACGTGGAAAACCACCTGAAAAGTGTTTTTTGACTCTACAAGCTTTTCAGCCTCAGATTGTAAACACGTTTCTGCTATTCCAGTGTAACCTCACCTGATTTCTTCCAAGACGATACTTATTCATCCACATTATTCCAACCTGTATTTGTTGTTGGATAACTGAGGACATGTAGATGACATGCTGGAAGTACCCGAATTGGCTCCCAGCGAGCCATTGGAAGCACAATGCAGCATCATGCCGAGCTAAAATGCTTAGGTTTTGAAAGTAGAGTGCAGTGTATATGTGATGCTACGCTCAGGCTGATTTTTTAATTTCAGCATGGTGCTGGCACAGCTACACTACTTTTGGTACAACTCCTTTGATTCTTGCTCAGAAATTGATGTGTTGTGCTTCATCTGAGTTTATGCATATCCTTAAACTCTTAGGCTGGGATTCATTGTATTAAACTTAAACCATCTAAAAGTGTCTACTCTGTGGTAGCAGTCAGATCCACCTATTGTGTGATCAGAAAAAAAGATATGTGATCAATTCTCTGAACATGCACATTTGGGGACTATACGGGGAGGGAATTCAACAGTTAGGTTCATCATAAGCTTAACGATGAGGTGGCTGAAGCGAACTGAGAAGGCTCCACCTTAGAAATTAAGAGTCTCTATAAGTAATACTGTAACTTAGGTTTTGACAGCAGGGAATGAACCAAGTCATGGTGAGGGGGTTTCAGAAGCTCAAAAATTCAGATCACTTCTAGGCGATGTGCCGCAAAACCCTTGCAGAGCGTGGCATAGGAAAGAGGGAGGCAGCACATTGCTTATGCACTGGAGGTTTAAACCTTTACAAGGGGGGAGTGAAGATAATGAAGGACTCTGCTCACCTATTTCCTCTCTTTAAGAAGCTCTTTCCTTGAGCAGACATTACATTTTCTATTTCCAACAGTCTTTTAGAAAAGAATCACACGAGCTGTAAAGACAGCAGGGGAACCACTTACAAACACATTTTAATTTTGTTTTATATCTCACAAAGGGAAGAGAAGAGGTTGCGTCGTCCTGAGGACTGGAAGCACAGCTGGACTATGGGATGTTCAGAACTGCAAAGTGAAGGCAAAATTTCTCTGCAAAAAACTAGCTGAAAAAATGAGTCTTCCTCTTGCTCCTGAAACAATTTCGGATTCCAAATGTCCTTTGGGTTGGAATACAGACAATAGCACTAATTCATGCTTCAAAGTAAGTATTAATTTTTTCAACAAGCCTGCTCATGAGACAGAGGAATATTAAATGGATAGAAAGTCTAAATTTCAGAGAATGGCACATTATAGTACAAATGTAGTAAGCTTTTATACAGACTATTAATGGAAATCACTTCAATTATTACTGTATCAGTGATATGTAAGATTAACTAAGTATCATATTCTTTAATCCACATTATATATGCTTATTTATAATTTACTATTTTCCTATATTGCTTATAGAAGGCAGTCAGTTTTATTTTTAATATTTACAATGTAAACAGTGATCTACTATAAAATTTATCTATAGATTTTTGTGAGAGAAGGAAACCAAAAGAAAACATGGTTTGAAGCCCGAGATTTTTGCAGAGAAATAGGAGGAGATCTGGCTGCCATTAAAAATGAAGAAGAGCAAAGACTGATAGAAAATTTAATAATGTAAGTAAACATGAAATAATTGATGCTTTAGTGTAACGATACATTATATAGGAATACTAAAAAATATTCTTGATTCTTTCCTGAGATAATTAATTTATTTTAAATCTATTTCTGTTTATAGTCATTGTCGTAAATAAAAGAATTGGAAAAATAACTTCATGTGGGTACCAATTTCCAAACACTTATTTGGAATTCCTAAAATTGGTCTTTATCCACAAACCTTTAAAACTAAAAAAAAAAAGAAAGAAATTGGGTGAATTCTCCTGCTTTAGACCCATTTCTAAGTTCATTCACTGAGCCATTTTGAAACAAAACTGTCGCTTCTAGTACACTTGAACATTTTCTTTTCAAAGAACATAATAATCACAGCATCGGTGAAGAAAAACAATATGCTGTGTTTTCAATACAACAATTTGCAAAGTGGAAAGTTTTAAGGTGTGATCACTTAGCTTATTTACTAGTGAGAGTTAGCTGGCCAACAGTATTTTGTCCTTTTTAAAATTTCTACCGCAATTACCTTTTGGGAATTCAGCAGTTGAGTCTTTGAATCTTCAGATACATTTATACTTACTTCATCATTACAGAGCAGGTATTTATCTACCAGTCCTTGCAGCTGTATACAATACATTTATATTATTTGTTCAGAAGTTTGAATATTCCTTTGGACCTCTAGTAAATGTAAGGTTTATTTTCCTATAGAACTTGTCAAATGTGATGCGGCTAACTGTACACATCCTCTTCTTCCATGATACGTTTTTTCACATTCTAGAAACAAATCCCCATCATTTCGGCCTTTCTGGATAGGTTTACACTGTTTGGATCCTGACGGTGGGCTTTCCTGGAGTGATGGATCACCGGTGAGTGTTAGACCCTCCCAATTTTTTCCTGACTTTTCCATTGTTGGAGCTGTTTCCATGACTGGAAACTCCTTTCCTTGTAAGTTAAGAACAAAAATCAACGCTAGTTTCTACTGTAGGTGAATTACAGGGAAACAAGTTATTTTGACAATATTGGATTTGAGTATTGTGGAACAATCAATGAAGAGTCATCCATGGCATGGATTAACATGCACTGTGAATACAGTCATGACTGGATTTGTGAAATAAAGAAAGGTAGGCTACTTTTTTTCCGAGCTCGCAGTAAATGTAGTCTGAGAAATTTGAGTCATGCTCTACCAAATTAGGAAGTTCCCCAACCAAGAAAATTTGATTGATTTCACAGGAATTTTGCATAAGGAAAAATGAGTCAAAACATAGCAATACTTTCAGAATACAGCGCTTCAACTGTTAATTAAAAAATTTTGGTTTATGCATATTTAAAATTTTCTATTATTTGATGTTATACTGAAAATATACATGCTTATATAATTATGGAATCATAGCAAATAAGGAGAAAGCCACCTCAAGGGCTCATCTGGTAAAATCCCAGATTGCTCTGCCCAAAAGAAGATTTTGTCAAAACAGCAGCTTTTGCTGACATGAAACTGCATTTTTCTTGGAACTACTACTTCTAGGGAATTTCCAAAATGGAGGGCTGAGGGAGAAAGCAAGGGTTTCAATTTACAAAAAAGATTCCTTGAAATCTCAATATCCTGTGTGAAATGAAACTTCTATCCTCCACTCAGATGGAGCAAGGAAGCTAAAAACAAAGACAAATTAGTTACCTAGTTTAATTCAAACAAGACTACCAGCATCTTAGAATCATTCTCTGTGTAAGATGATGTCTGAATTTTTCATTTAAATTATGTCTCAGTAGACAGCAGGTTTTCAGTCAAATGTGGTTTTTCACTAAGTAGTTTCTTAGAAAAAATTTATTTTGCCAACAAATGTATACCAATAAAATTCAAAATACTTTGAAGTAGATTTATTTTTGATTTTTTTCATTTGAATTTCTTGCTCAGCTACAAGATCACATCTATAAAGAACCTTATTACCGTGCAGAGCAAGTATGCTAACATTCAAGTAACATATTTTCAATCTTCTATTTTCTCTCAGAAACAAATACTCATTCAAACTAACTGCATTCGCCAAACTTAGGCAACTTTCAGGATGTACAAGATGCACTCACCAAAAAATCTACTGATGCAGAGATGTAGAGCTGTAATACATCTGTTATTCCCTGAACATACACTCCTTCTCTGCACCAACAGTATTGAATAAATACATTCTTCGCTGAATGTGTAAAACATGGAAAATGGTTTGATACCAAATTCATTTTCACTAACTGAGCATTTACACTGGGTGAACGTTCAGGAAGCATTTTACATCTTCATTTTTTGTCCATTTCATTACAGGAGCACCCTTGAAATCAGAACCTGCAAGCCCTTCTGCCAGTAAGTTTTTTGTTTATATCCTCTTATCTAAAGAGTAATATCATGTAACACGACCAGCACCACATAAGAACTGTGCAGAATAATTCCTTTTCTATGTTGCAGTGTATGAAGTCACTGAAGATGGCTGGGTTATAAACGGGAACAAACAATATTTTTTCAGCACAGAAAGTACCTCTATGGAAAAAGCCAGAAAGTTCTGCAAAAACAATTATGGAGACCTTGTTACTATTGGAAATAATAATGAAAGAAAATTTTTGTGGAAATACGTAAGAGGAAATTTAACTATGTGTTTCACTATATATGGTGTGCATACTCTGCTGTGTGTATGCTCTGCTGCATATGCTGGTGAACTGCAGGAGAACAAGCTTGTCGCATAATATTGTTACTACATTTTATCGGCAGTAGATTTAAACGTTCAGCGAAAAAATGTTTATACTTCAGAATAGGCCTTCTGTTTAGGAAAATAAATACAAAAGAATGTATCCTTTACTAGAGTGGGTATATTTTTTATATTCTAATCTAAAGAGAGCTTTCCCCAAGACGAAAGTTATGTAAGGAGCAACAAACAGGTAGATTAAATGTACACTGAGAAAATTATCCTTTTTTCCAGGATGGTTACCCCTAGCTTATCTGACTGGTCTGAAGTGCAGTGATATGCGCAGATTTGAGGCTACTGCCAGTATAGCTCTGAGGGTCACATACTGTATCACGCTGCCGAACAATACAGCTTTGCAAAGGCAGGTTTAGCACAAGCCCAGGACAGGTCAGGGATTAAAGAATCGGGACCTTGGTGAATTCGCTGTGCTGTAACACGTATCAAACCTGCTAATGTACACCCCGGGCACTGCCTACGCGTGGTGGTGATTGCTGGGACACGCCAAAGCCACCGCAGGCAGCGTGCGGACAATTTATGAGCAGGGCTGTTTGCTGCTCAGTGCTCCCGCCTCTGCCCTAACCCGGTTCAGTTCACTAAGACTGAAGTAGCCACAGACCCTCCATTCCTCATCACACTATTAGATGATTGTGTTCATTATGTATGGGAAAGGATATGAAAGGAGCAGAGGACAGACAGCTTGAGACACTGGAACTGCACAGCTGCTGAAGAAGAAAATTTAGATGTATTTACTCCTAAGTACCAACATATTTATACTAAATTCTTCCTCAAGTCTTCCTTGTGTCTTTTAAAAGTGAGAACAGGATCCAACTCTAAAAACTTTCATCACACTGTTAATGCAGTCGAACTAGGGAAGCAGCAGTAAAGATAATGAAGCAAAAGTATGCAATATACAGTACTTATTTCATTGGCAGTCCTCTCTGGTGGCTACACATGAACATTTATACAATATGTATTTGTCTATTTGATTTAATCGCACAAAAATACATTTTTTTCATATCAGATAACTGTAATGTAAAAGCAAGCACTAACTGAAAGTGTATTTTTGTGTGTAGATCTTAAAAAGTGGCAAACTGGAATCATACCTCATCGGATTACTTCAGGATGTTGATCAACAGTTTAGGTTGGTAAACAAAAGTTACATCAAAATTCCTAGCATTCAGTGCAGAAGTTTTGTACAGCTAGAGTTATTTCTGGAGGGACCACTGCAAGGGAGTTAAAAGCAGTTTCAGAGAGTTATATTGCATGTTGAAATGTGTGCTCTCCCTTGGTTTATCTGCATTGTAAAATCACTATATTTCAAAGGCTTTTAAAATAGATCATATACATGCTATGAATACATAGATAACAACTCTTAAAAATAACAATATTTTTGTTCTTTGACTTGACATGCTGGGATTTTATTATCTAAGACATTTTAATCCCAGCAGAAATCCAATTTACAGTCAGACACACTCAGCTGTAAATATTTTATTTTGGGATGGTAAGATTATTAGCAAATGATTGTTAGGTTAAAATAGATTTTTCTCAACTGTTTCATGAACGTTATCTGACCAACAGCTACTGTGTTGCCTTTGTTTTTTCAGTTGGGCAGATGGAAGCCCAGTTCACTATGCAGCTTGGGCACCAGATGAGCCCAACTTTGCAGCTGCTGAAGAAAACTGCGTGGTCTTAAATAAAAAAGATGGTGAGTTACAAAACATTTTTAAAAGAGTATTTTTAGGGGTATCTTTCTTCCTCCATTTGTTAACATGACTTGCCTACCTTAATCCATTCTTTCCCAGGGATTTTATGAAAAAGTCCCATAATAAAGTTTAGTCATTATATCTGAGGTTAGTTCACGGGCAATATTGGTCATGGAAGTAGAATATAAGAAATTATAACTTTCATGGGTAATACAGCAGAAGACTGGAGCAATAACTTTTCAGCTGTACAAACAGTAAGTTTCCTTCAAATCAATGGCAAATTGGTCTTTCAAAAATAGATGAGAGGATAGCTAGCCAAGGAATAGAAAGTATACCTAAGGACCTAGTTTCACATTTAATTGTGTTTCCACTGATAAATTGTTACTTTACACTTGCACTCTTGAGTGTAAGAAAGATGTTTGTGGGTTTTGCATGGAGGTTAGGGAACTGCCGTATCAGGCATATCATATGGCTTCTGCCTAATATAGCCACTACTTGTACAGTTGCTGCAGGTTCAAGGTTTGTCTATAAGCAGTGAAGATGGGATGGACAGTTGAGCTGAAGCATGCCATCACTCATGCTAACATTCCCAGACAGAATGCTTGAGAAGCTACAGGCATAGAAGTCAGTTCATTTTCTCACAAATTTCAGTCTTATTCAGTGTCTTCTTATCTACATTTAAATTGATTTCAGGCTTGTGGAATGATATCCACTGTGGTTTTTCAAATGGCTTTATCTGTGAGAGGCGCAGGAGTTTTATAAATGCAACACTTGCTCCAATGGTACCTCCACCTCCAGGAGGATGTCCTAAAGATTGGCTTTTATTCAAAAATCAGGTATGATAACATGCATTTAAGCACAATATGAGTCTTTGGGAAGGTATGTAAAGCAATAAAGAGGTCTTTTATCTCTTAGTTACCTTTTGACAGTGATTATCCGAAGTTGCACTAAAAATTGGACCAGTTACCTAACTGTTGCAAAATGATGATTTTGTAGTTACAGATTTTTGTTTTCCTGAAAAGTAGCCATCTGAGACACATTGACAAAATTGTTACATAGCATATATCTACTTAAAAAGCTCTTACATACACTCTTAGAGTGTATGTAAGTGTACAGTCAGTCATTTGAGCTGGAACAAACCAAGAATAATGCCTGATCTTTCTAAAAAAGTTTCAATTTAATGCTTCCCTCATCTCCAAAGAGGCAAACTCTGATGTGCATATTAAGTCAGAGTTCTCTTTTATAATATATAAAAAATTGTTATGGAAGCACCCACTGATACAACGGTGGAATTTATGCCAGTTCACCTTTTTGTAATTGTTACAGTTGTCAGAGTTATTTCCAACAAGCTCCACAAGTCTTATTCTCTGCTACTGGTATGCCACAGAGCAGAAGGTGCACTGGAAGCATAGCGAGGGCACTTTTGGCACATTCATAATTACCAGGACCATTTCAGGGTGAATGTCTACTGGTAGTATGGTAACTAGGTATTTTTTTAAGAGTGCATTAGTCATATACTTCCATTAATAAAAGAGCTACAAAATGAGAAAGGCTGATTAAACACACAACAGCTCACTGATCACAGGCTACAGGTCAAAAATATTGCTTTTCACAAAGCTCAGATGATCCCATGTGGAATGCTGTGCTGGCTTTTGTGTAGTTTTTGTTTTGTTTTGCTTTGTTTTGTTTTGAGGAAACAACACTTCTTTGTCTTTTATCAATGATGAAGTATGGTTTATCCAAAACTCTGAGCTGGCTGACACACAAGATTCTTCTACAACTCCTACTGTGATTTATAAATGGTTGTTAGAGTTTTGCTGGGATATTCTGCTACTTGGCGAAAGATACAGAGTAAATTTAAAATCTGCAAACAGAGTATCAGAGCAGGACTTTGATATCAGACTTGGAATATTAGTGCTGAGTCCTTGTTAACTTTACGAATTTTTCTTCTGGATCGCAATTGCACTAATTTCTATTAAAATTAGTGTAATTCAAACCTACATTCCTTTTGCTATCACTTATTAACAGTCCAACTCATTCTCCCCCAGTGTTACAAGATTTTTGGCTCTGCCTATGTATATTGGAGAACTGCACATAGAGCTTGTATGAGCCTTGGAGGAAACCTGGCTAGCATACATGATGAACAAGTACAAGGTATAGTATAACAGCTCTTTAGGTCTTGGACAGTATTTATTCTGTACACAGTGATCATTTCCTACAAAAAAGAACATGGTAAAAAGAGGTAGTTGTAAATATATATATATTTTATAATAGCTATACTCACATGGGTTATAAGGCCATGGCATAAAGCTTTTTTGGAAGAATTAAAACCAGCTGCCTCAAGCATGCTAGTGATGCTAAGGGTTGCTCCCTCCTGCTCCACACAAACCGCTTTACTGATTTGTAGGATATGAATTATCAGCATAGAATAACAAATCCAGACCTGATGTTTGTAGTTTTTGATACAGAGAAAGCAAAGGAAGTCATGGCCTGCTCCTGTCAGAAAAAGAAATGGATCTAATACTACCCCTCTCTGAAATGATTGCCCCAATTCTGCAAATTAATTCCTCTGTAGCAATGTCACATGAAGACACATTTTCACCTTGACTACGTTCCTAGGGTTCCACCTGCAGCTAAAGGTAGCTACTTGTGTAGCTTCCATCAGTCAATCAGCTCATTCCAAGGATTGAAATAAGTGAACTCAGTAGATAACATGATGGTCATGCAGGTATTTTATCCTACCTCTTTCTGAACTAGTCTTGCTTCATAGTTACAAACACTTCCACTCTTTGAGACTTTTCACAGGCCAAGGCTTGGAACCTTGGTTTGCCATAATCAAATTGGGTACAATTCCAATCAAATACGAATTAAAATGCATTTACAAGACTTTAGAAAAACAAAATACTTAAGGATTTGTTTATATGCTGATGTCTTGAGTGATGACATGTTCAACTTCCTTTCTATTGCCTTTTACCAGCTTTTCTCACTTACCATTTGAAGGATGTGTCAAGTGATCCCTGGATTGGCTTGAATGATATACTCAGTGAACTCAACTTTGTTTGGACTGATGGAAGTGCTGTTTCCTATACAAACTGGGCTCAAGATTGCCCCAAACTTGCAGAACCTATTTTGTTTCCCAGCCTACATCCAGAAGATGGCCACAATCGGCAACAGGTAAATATCGCTTATAGTGTATCATCAGGTTAAATCAGGAGAGCAGTATCACTTCGGGTAAGCAGTTCAATTTACCATAAATATGCCTCAACCCTTTTCCCAAGTTGTTCATTTATCTTGAAGCTGATTCTGTCAAGAATAACCACTATTTAAATGTCCCTTTGTAGGCCATATACAAAGCTTGACTTCCATTCATTTTTATTTCATTCCTATTCCAAAATCTAGCTGGGAGCTGCTCATTATTCAGTGAAACAGAAGGTGTGATAAAATGTTCTTGAAAGCATATTCAAGTATTCAAGTATATTTTCTCAAAATATAATTGAATGAAGAAGCAGGCTGAGCTGCAGTAGCAGCATTGAAAAGATTTACAAGATAGTACCGAGCAGAAGCTGGCCACAACAAAGGAGACCACAAAGAATGTGTTTCTAGAGCAGTTCAAAGCCCACAATATCAGAATTCAAAGAAAAAAGGAGTGAAATGTCCCAGGTTTACAGTACTTTGTTTTTTAACATCAACGTATTCATACTCCTTGCCTTCCTCCATCAGTTTGACTGTGTTTCTCTGAAGAAAGGTCATGCTGATGATACAGGAAAATGGAATGATGAAGTATGTTACAACTCCAGAGGGTATATATGCCAGAAGAACAGTGGTGAGTTCTGTTTTGCTAGTCTTGAAATTGATAATATATTAATTAAAAACACTTCTCTTGTTCGACGTTATTTAGATCATTGCTCACAATTTTTTTTTAGGTAAAGGACAAGTAAAACTTTAGAAAAAATCCACAGCCTATCTTGCATCCCAGTACTGCTTAGCAGTGTTTTGGAGAAGGGAGTGATAAATACTAGAATTTAGGAACACAAATATTTTTATTTTCCAATACTGTAATTGAACAGCTAAAAACCCCAAACTTTTTAATTCGATAAGTTGATAATGATCTGTATATCATCATAATTGGCAAGTCTTACATTTATCCAAATAAATTTGATAGTCATATTAAGCAGCAAAAAATAGTTTGAAAAGACAGAGTTGGTGTGCAGTTTTTGACTGACTGTTTTGAAAACTACTGTGAATTCACTGATTCAAAATTGCCAAAGGCTGAGAACGTATTCCTTTCATGCAGGTTCATTCTTTTTTGGAATTATCTGCTACTCATAAACATGTAACGAGAAGTGTTCCACTCAAATTAGCAATTTACTACTTGGTTTGTAAATAATGAAGATGTTATTCAGTTGCTCAAGTGAAATATGTGTCCTCTAGATATACCTATTCTTGTTTTCTTTCTTCTCCCTTATTCCTACAGATCCTAAACTCTTTAAGTCATCAGCCACACTGCTGGATTTTGCTTCTGCCCATTCTGATGGAGTTAGTTATTCTGTCATCCATTCCAAAATGAATTGGGAAGAAGCACAAAGATCCTGTAATAACAAAGCCTCAGAACTTGCCAGCATTTTAGATGTATATAGCCAGTCACTGTTGTTCTTACTCGCACAAGAATATGGAGAGCCTCTCTGGATTGGTCTTAATAGCAACATGGTAAGAACATATGCATTACAGAGAGTCAAGCTTACACTGGACCAGTCTTACTCTTTGTTTAGAAGAATCTTACTGCATGCTCTCATCCTGAAACCTGTAAGAATTTCTGTCAGTGTATCGCTGAAAGCCACAATTTATGTCAGTACTATACCCATTTAACGTTCAATGAATATGAGCCATATTGTGCAGATTTTAATGAATCAAGAGCTCTTAAATGCTGTAGCCCAGGGGAATGCTCCTGCAAACCAGCGTACCACAATGCTGTTTACCGTTTGAAGTCATTTAAAGGGTCTCCAACATAACAAGCAATATCTCCCACTTCATGAGTTTGCTTTAATTTAAAAGATATTCCAAAATCAACATGCATGAGTACATCCCGCCCTCTTGTCATGTGTTTATGTATCCCAACGATTAGTGCCATCATATCTTCGCTTGCACATCTGACATCTGGGAAGGAACGGATTTTATATGTGTGTTTATGTTCACACATACCTCCCTAAGTAGTCTTATTTATGGTAGCAGCAGAGAAATACAGTTAGGGACAGAAACAATGGCAAAAATTATTTAAAGGAATCTGAAGGCTATACGATAGGGTACCAGGACATATTGACCAATGGATTTTTTTTTTTTCATTTGTAAGTGCAATTGGTGTAATAGTCCCCATTCAGAAGTTAGAATTTTATGGAGGAAAATCCTTTGTCAGTGAGATGTCTACTTCAGTTGCATGACAGGAGAGAGAAAGGTGAACATTTGGCTTGTAGGTGTGTTTTGACATGCTATACTCCTCCCCATGAATCACAGTCATGGTAACTACAACAAAAGTGATGGCTATTGATCAGCATTAAAAACACTCCCACTCACACAGTCAATCTCCGCGCACGCCTTTGGTGGTACCAACATGTCTTATTTGACTCCCAGTCTTGAGCCTTCCTTCACGTCCCCTTAGTTTTTCCATTCCGTTTCCCAGTGCTTGAAAAATGTTCTGAATTAATATTAGATACTTTTCTAGAGGGTATAAAAAAATCGTTCTACGTTCATATTCTTGTATAACAGACACTGTCATCTCATTGCAATAAGCATTTACAAGCTCAAAAATGTGGCATTATTAAGCACACGATTCTATACTAGTTTTATGAAAGTCCTCCAAGGATCCTGTTTAGTAATGTCACTCTCACCAACCTTGAAATTACCATATAGATTTTACTTCCAGACCAATGGCAAGTATCAATGGATTGACAAATGGAGATTGGTTTACAGCAAGTGGTCCAGTGGGGAACCGAAACAGAAATTAGCATGTGTCTACCTAGACACTGATGGCACCTGGAAGACAGCTTCATGCAAGGAAGAATTCTTTTCTCTCTGTAAAAAATCTGATGGTAAGCAGTTGAATATAAGTATTTTAACTGGAGGGTGTGGAGACTTATCAGCTGAGCTAAATATGGTAAGAAGCTGGAAAAATACTTGCTTCATGGACTAGTATATAGGATGACATGAGCAGCTAACTAACTAGTTTTAAAAATTTACAGGAATTCTTCTCAGAAGTCAGTCAATTCATACTAATCATCTCTTCAACTCTGAAAAACATAGGACTGATTGCTCATTGATTTCTTAATTATTCATTCTAATAGAGAACTCATTCACTTACTATGAGATCTGTTTTGATAAGGAATATTGTATCCAGTCTGGGGCACCATAGTTTGAAAAGGATGTCAGTCACCTTGGGTTTTCAGATAACTAGGAAACCAGAATTGTAAGGAAAGATTATAACTGGGGTTGGACAGTCTGTAGAAGAGAAGACTAAGAGAAACCATAGTATCACTTTCAATAATGAAACACAGCTCTAAAGAAATCAAATTAAAATCTTCCCTATATCCCATGTGAGTTTGACAAGGAATAACAGGCTTAAAATACAGCAAGAGAGATCTGTGTTAGATATAAGGAAAATCTTCTAAATGTACAATACAGAAGCATTTAATAAACCCATTGGACAGGTCAGGGAATCTCCATCACCACAGATTGTTAAGAACAGATAGGACAAACTTCTGTTAAAAATGACATAATTATATGTCTATTTGGTGTCACCTATGAGCACAAGGACAGCACAAGATAATCCCTTGGGGCACCTTTCAAGCACAGACTTCTACAGTTTCTATGGAAATAAGGAAAACTGTGATTTCACAATTTAGCTAAATATTCTAATGTCTTCTTCAACATTATGAAAGCTCTTTACCTTTTATAAAATTAAATTTTACACACAAAACCTGCCAACTACTTACTAAGATGCATGCAAGTTACATGTAAAACTACATATTAAGATGATGTAGTTTGAAGATTGACATGTAATTTCTCTTTCCACTTTAATATTCTGGGAATCTAAT